GATTGCTTCATTCCAAGAGTTTCTGGTTCTGGAGGCTTGGGTGAACTCATGAATTATCTCCCTCCCTCTGTTTCCCTCTTCACTTTTGTCTTGGCCATGTCTTTTCCTTGATTATCTCCTCAGATTTAAATCCACCAAAGTTTATATCAAACCTTTTATCTTTTATCAAGTATTTAATGAAAACCACCATTAAGAGGTTCTCCTTACTCTGAGCTCTCCAAAGCACCGAAGTCTACATTTGTAGGCACTGTCTTATGTTACTTTGTGTTAACACTTCTCCAGATTTTCACAGTGTCATATGTATATTATCATGTCATGCATGGTGGTGGTATTGTGTTCCCCAAAATATTGTGCACCCTAATCAACTTATCTGGGGTCAAAGAACTGAACAGCCACTAGATAAAGAGGCTAGAAAATGGTGGCACTCACACCTTTAATCCTAGCATTCCAGAGGCAGAAATTCCTCTGGATCTCTGTGAGTTCAAAGCCACATTGGAAACAGCCAGGCATGGTGACACATGCCTTTAATCCCAAAAAATGAGCCTTTAATCCCAGGGAGTGATGGCAGAAAGCAGAAAGATATGTAAGGCAGGAAGACCAGAAACTAGAAGCATTTTGGCTGGTTAAGCTTTCAGGCTTTGGAGCAGCAGTTCAGCTGAGATTCATTCTGGATGAGGACTCAGAGGCTTCCAGTCTGAGGAAACAGGATCAGCTGAGGAACTGGCAAGGTGAGGTAGCTGTGGCTTGTTCTGCTTCTCTGATCTTCCAGCATCCACCCCAATACCTGGCTCCGGGTTTGTTTTTATTAATAAGACCCTCTAAGATTCATGCTACAATGCATCTTTGTATTTCATTAGCAGTCTCCAAACACTTTAGGTTTTCAGTCTGTGTTTGATGAATGAATTCATACACGCTGTTCCCAGTAATATTTGTTAATAATCTAAGTGAACTGTAAACATTCCATCATATTATTAGATAACAAAGGTAAATACAACGCTACTATAAATAAGGGAGGCAATTTAATGAAAAATCTTAATCATTCAGACTTTAGAATCTGCTAAATAAATAGTGACCAAGTTGCTAACTCAAGAAGAAAAGATAGGAAATTTTTATAAAAAGCTCTAAGGTTCTGCTACATTTCCCAAAGTCTTGGGTAATAAAGTGAGAACTTTTGGTAATATTCTGTGAATAGTAAAATTTCCCATTTTCTTGACAGTGAAGCAAGATCTGAAGAAGTCTGAGGTGCTTTTGTGTCTGCCACAATCTTCTGAGGATAATGACCAATAGATAGCCACCAAAATTATGTTTATGAATAATTTATAACATAGGAAAAACTTAGCTTGCTTAGCAGAAAAGACAGAAAGTACCAAAGTATGCATGCATGCATAAGCGTGCACGCGCGCACACACACACACACACACACACACACACACACACACACACACACACAAGCTATTATACTATTTTAAACAATACGAGCAAAATAAAACCTATAAGCTGAGAGTAATTGGGGCAGATGGAAGTAGCCCAAAATGCTAACATATTTGAATGTATTTTTATATCCTTCTGCTTTTGTTGCTTTGCTTTGTCACTTTCCTTTTCTTTTCTTTTTGAGATAGGGTTTTCTGTGTAGCAGCTCTAGCTGCCCTGGACCCAGGCTGGCCTCAAACTCACAGAGATGTGCCTGCCTCTGCCTCTTAAGTGCTGGGATTAAAGGCCTGTACCACCACTGTTTTTTTTTTTTTTTTCATTCTTAAAGTTAACTCCACCTTCATCTGGTTTTACTTATCTGCATCTTCTCTCTTCTCCTCTTAGTGATATAAAGGTTTGCCACTTTGTTTATGTTTTAAAATAAACTTTTGTTTTCAAAATGTATTGCTTCTGAAATAATGATACATACCTGAGTTGCACTACAAATGAGTTGTAATCCACATTCTTGTCCCTCTCCCTACCACATGTTTATGGTTCTGGCAAAGCCAGTATTATTTGGGTAGAACTTCAACTAGCTGTGATTAGCCAGGGAGGGTCCATCTCATTATTTCCATCACCTGCTGCTCACCCAGAGTTAGGCCAGCAATGTGTACCAAACAGAATTTCTGCCACATCCAGGTCTGAGGTTTTTTTTTTTTTCTTCTTTTTTATGCAACTGTACCCACAAAGAGTGCATTTGGATTTTCTGGTGCTTGCTATAGCATCATGGCCCTCCCCAAGGCATGTCAGAAGCTACAGTTTTGGGCATAAAACCAGACACTGATGGTATTCACTTTCATGCTACTTTTACTCATCAGGACTTAAGGAAAGATGCAATGGTATATGAATGCCATCCTTTCCCTCCAAACTGGCTGTTGCCATGTCAGAGTTATTGATACATGTCTGCCAAATAATGTGCTATGCCTTACCACTGTCAGGTCTTCTTCCTAATGGCAGGCTACTCCTAAGACATCTATACTGAGCTCTAGATCTAGCACAGAGCATCTGACCTACAGAAAGACAAGGGACTAGCTCCTTAACACTAGTCTGCACAAATCCTTCTAAGTAACTTGACTGAATCGGGTTTTCATTTGCAAGTAAAAAGCAAAGTTTCTGACTTCATATCTTTCTTCTCAAATTTTATTTGAATGGACAAAACAGAAACATCCAATCTGCTACCTTTATATTATAAATTTATTAAAATTTAATTACTACTTGGATGGTCTTTTTATTTTTTCTGACATATGTATGTGTATGTTTGGTATATGCATGCATGTGCATATGGATGTTTACTCCTGTGTGTGTATATACATAGAGGCCAGAGGAAGATATGAAGTGTCCCCTCTATCTAAATTATTCCCTTGAGGCAGGGTCTTTCACAGAACCTGGAGCTAGGATGGCAACCAGCAAGCCTTAGCAATCCTCTGTCACCATGCCCCATTGTGCCATGGTTGCATGATGATGACTAGCTTGTGAGCTGGAAATTTGAATCCAGATCCTTACACTTACTCAGGAAATGTTCTTACCTGCTGAGCAATCTTTCCAATGCCTTATTTCTATTTTTGATTACATATTTTTGTCTATTCTTTATCTGGACACTTTTCATGATTATAGAAAAGGGGAAAGAAATTCATGCCTGATCTCTAATCGTTGATATGTCCTTTACAAGAATCAGGAGTTGCTGGCCTTTCTTGTTTTGACTTTTTGTGCCTTGTTGTCTTATTTTATTATTTGGCACAGAAGCAGTGGAAATCATGCATATTTTGTTATGAAGATAAGACCAAAGCAAGTGTCAATATAACGACTGCTTTATCTGTATGTGTTGTATTAGTTTAGATCATGTGTGACTAAACTGAAGGTGTAAAATCCTAGAATTCTCTAGTTTATTTTAATAGGACACAGGAAGCACATAAACCATAGTGAACCCAAAGCATCTATGATGAGAAGAGGCAAGAGTGTTTGCACTTTTAAAGTAGCAACTGAACAAACCCATCACAGAAGAGTAAGGAAGTTATAAAGGACACCATCAAAGTGGCCTTCAGACCATTAATAAACCTTTCTTGTTCTGCTGTCACTTCTCTGGACATGCTATTCCACATTTTCATTTGGTTGTGTCTTGCCATAGATAAGTGGCAAAGAGATAGGTTTTGATATCATCTTAACTTTCAGTTTGAGTGATTTAACCCCCATTGGGGTTCAAATTAATCCTTTTAAGTCACTTGAGAGAACATAACCTTCAGTTAACCTTTAAAGTGATAATCAACATGATTTTAAGCCTCTCATGTCCAGTGTCAGTCTTCTTACAGCATTTGGGGAGTACAAATGATTTTCATTTCATTGGTTTGTAGAGAATTGAGATGATCCTCATCCTTCTCCAGGCAACCTGAAGCACCATAGCCATGACTTCACTGGAATCCTGCTTAGCTAGCAGGTATACCAGAGCTGTGCAGCTGGTGATATGTTGGCTTTGAAGTATCTCAAAGACTCATCTTTCTGACTAAAAATCCTAAAAAACATGAACCTATTGCTGGCAGATAGATACGGAGTTCTCAAACTCACACAAAGGCATCCTTTCTGTTTTCCTTATCCACATAAAGACTTTAAGATGTAAATTCACAAATTTCTAACTATTGATATGGTATAAATGAGATGAAGGTGGCAAGAACAGTTTTGTGGTTCCTCCAAGATCCACTCTGAGCTTCCACTGGACATGTTCACTTCCTACTGGTCCCTTGTCTTGTAGGGTCTACTCATTGGGAGGCAGACAAGGGATCATAAAGTAGGAGTAGGCAGTTGAGGTCTTTTTCCCGCCCTGCTTTGCCAAATAATAGCAACTTATTTTTAGCTCTGAATGTCAGAGTTCAGGTGGTGGATTTATTTTGTTTTTGTTTTGACCCTTCAAGTTCTAAGGAGGAAAACAAAATTCTTTCCTCAATCTGGAAATTTCTTAGTAGGATTATACTTGTGTATCAAATGATGAATTAACAAGGGGGGGGAAAGAAGTATATTTAATATTTGGAGAGAACAAGTACATTTCAAACATGTGGCTTTGGATTTCAACTTATCTTCAACAAAGTATAGTGAAAGTTTAAAGAAGTAGCAAAACAAAGAAAAAAGGAATTTGCATCTCTGTGGGTGAAAACTTGTGGGACAGTTGGAAAATGGCAGCAAAAGACTAGTTAGTAAAGTTTGTGTTGATTCTTCTGGTATAATTTCCAGGTTGATAAAGATCTAAAGTTGTCTTCAGTGGTTAGCTGTTTCTCTCTAGGGTAGGAGGATACCTTTTACCCTTAAAAACTGTATGTTCTGCTTTTGGACAAATAGGGGAGGGCAGAGAGCTTTCTGAATCTGCTGCTGTTCACCAACCACCAATATGCCAACAAACATGGCAGAGTCATGTTCTGGGGTAAACATAGGCCTCCTGAAAAACACAGGGGTAGTAGCTTCCATTGTGGCTAGTCTTTGAGTATTGGTTCTTCTGATCCTATTCATCTTTCTATACCCTAGAGTCAGATCATTTTTTTACTTACCCAACACTGCATTTCTCCTTGTTTTCAAAATGCCATGGCTAGAACTAGTGATCTACATAGTATGAAGATGGAAGTGAAAAACAGTCTTAACCAGGGGTCTTGATTGTAGAAATGGATCTGTTCTAGGACAAGAAAAGAAAACTTTCTAAGAAAAACTGGAGATGTTTTTTGCTTAACAAAACCTAAGTATTATACACATGATTGTCAACTTCCTGAAATCTGGAAAGGACTCTTGGTCTGCACTAAGCTTCCCTGCCGCTGCCATCACTTACAGTGGTGGCACCCCTCTGTCCACTGCTCTCAATAGGGCTTTGGTGGGTTTGCTTGTCTCTTGCTTAACATCTACTGTACACAAGATGACCCATGAGCTGTTTCATAGCCATTTACCCATCCAAAGACCCAGAGCTCTGATGATTCAAGTTTGACTGTTGGGAAAATCAATGCTTAGAAGATTCTGACTGCCAGGTCTGGTAATACTGCAGAGTTCCAGAGACCAGCTCAGATAACTCTGTCCAGATTTGCAGAACATTAGGGACATATGTAAGTAGGTGCTTATGATGCAGATTTTGTTTTAAACAAAGCCTCTTTCAGAGGAAAGTGAACTACAATAATAATAATAAGAGAGCTCCTCTTGCTAAGAAGATCCTTAACACAAAAGATCACTAAGCATTCTCCTTCATTAGAAAGCTTTATTTAAGTAATATTTGTAACCAGATTCCAATTCACAATACTCTGAAAGCAACACACAAGTCTCAGTGAAACCTCATTGCATTTCTTCTGTTATGATCAATGTCCTCATTAGTATTTATTCTCTGGGAGTAATGGGTTCTATTGCACTTGGGCCATGCCAAATAACACAGAGAAGAGAACAGAGATTGGAAAAGCTATGAAAGTAAGTCAAAGAAGCTCAGAGTTGAAATATACTGAAGCAGGGGGACAGGGAGTGGCTGACTCACACTCAAAATTGCATAAGCAAGATTTCAAAATTAATCCTGTGGAGACCTCAGCCCAGTATACAATGTTCCTGGCTGGAAAAGAAGAACTGTAAATCTTTGACTTTTTTCTTCAAATCTTTACCATCACTTGCTGTTCTATCTCCGCCTTCTCTTTCTGCAGGAAACTTTATTTCCTACTTCTGCACACCAAGTTTCTACCTCCAGATCTGAGGTTTTTGTTGCTGAGAAGTCTGAGATACCAGTGCTACCAAGAAGAAGCCATCCCTGGTGAGTTTTGATTTTTCCATGACTTTTTGAATGTTAAGCTCAAGCATCTCCAAGCTTGAGGTGCAGGGCACTAGAGAGACAGCCTGAGAGGTTGTACAGCCTGTGCCTGTGGAGACAATGATCAAGATTCAGGTAGAGGAGAGGGTGTAATATGCATTAAGAAATGTTAGAAAGACCCTAGTAGCAGTCAGGAAATGAGGGTGTTGCTGGGTGGGACCATCCTTTGGGGATCAGGTGATTAAAAGGAGACAACAAAGGGAGGAAAAGTACTCTGCCTGGTCATCTTCTAGGCATCCACAGGTCTACTTAGCATGCAGAGGGCTTAAATTTCTAGAACTTTCTACCATGAAATCTTTCACTCTAGTCTATATATGGGTTAGTCTAAGTCCAGAACCAAAATATTCCATTTAAATATGGCTTTTGCTCTTCTCATGAGGGCCACACAAGCTGAAAAGACCCCCCCCAAAGGCAGCTTTCCTGCAGTCCTGAGTGTTAGGTTTTGATACCCAAAGTGATACACAGGCAGTACCTTCCAGTCACTTTGTTGGCTCCTTGATATGTAGGGTTAGATGAATTGCCTAGTATTTTCCATAACAGCTGGAACTTCAGGAACTGACTAGGACTTAGTACAGTGTAATTATTCAGACATGCCAGGTGGTGGTGGCACATGCCTTTAATCCCAGCACTGGGAGGCAGAGCCAGGCGGATCTTTGTGAGTTTGAGGCCAGCCTGGTCTACAGAGCGAGATCCAGGAAAGGCCCAAAGCTACACAAGTCTCAAAAAACCAAAAAAAAAAAAAAAGTAATTATTCAGACACATACATTTTCATCTTGACTTTCATCAGAGATCTCATTTAGTTTTTGCAGTCTAGTGATATGGCTCAGTGATGTGAAATGCAAGCTTGTAAAATGTGACTATCTTTGAAGAGATGGAAAAATGCTGTGCTATATAGGTTATATAGGATATAAATAACTTACGGTCAATATCAAGAAAAGGTATTCTTAACAATCAAGATCTAATGATGTTACATCATATAATTTTATAATTATAAATATAGACTTGTGTGCACTCATTCAGTTAGTATTTACTGGTAACTCTTTTAGGCAGATGAAATTATAAGAGTGAGATTAAAAACACTGCCACTCCTTAACCTCAGAGAGGTGCATAGTATGCAAAAGATAGCATGATAAGTGCTTACTTAAATTTCACAAGAGCAGAGTGATCTGTCAGAAGGTGCAGATTAGGCTTCACAAGAAAAGGGAAATTTGAGTAGGAGGTAGGATGAATAGGAGCCATTTTAGGCCAAGGGACATACACATAGTAAATCACCAAGGCATGAAGGAAATGGAGAGATGATGGTTGTAGCTGTGCACAGGACTGGGAATGTGAGAAATGACTGGAGATGAAACTGAGAAGCAAGTTGCCCTAGTGAGTGGATCAACCACTATGAGATCCCACCAAATCTAAATCATGTATAGAAGTATATGTGTGTGTCTCTTCATGTATAAGTCATAGTAGATGCTAAATGAATATTGACTGTATGGACAAATTCATGAAGAGATACCATCAAATAGTGAAAAAATAAACTAAAGTTTTGGAAAAGGTGGGACTTGAACATAGAGCCTTGGAAAATAGGCGTTCAGGAGAATCAAAATCCTGAGATTATATGACATAATCCAGCCAATCTGAATTAGAAGAATTTTGGAGCAAGAAACAAAAGGTAAAAGGGGGCAAAAGCCAAGTATAATGCCTGGGAGCTTTTATGGAATGAGTAATGAGATGTCACAAAAGAAATGTATAAGTAGTCAGGTAGGAACGTCCTCTTAGAAGCTAAAAAAAGTTTAAAAAAAAGATTCATCTGTTTATTTATTTTGTGTAAATATGTGTGCCTACTTCAGTTCATGTGAATTAAGTGTGTACAGGTGCCCATGGAGGTCAGAAGGTTATAGATCCCCCAGAACTGGAATTACAAGTTTTTATGAGCTCCCTGTTGTGTGTCCAGGAAACCAACTTGGGTTCTCTGCAAGAGCAGTAAGTGCCTTTGACTGCTGAGTCATCTCTCCAGCCCCTTAAACAGGGTTTTGAATAAGGAAATTAATGCTCAATGAGAATGAATTTGGAACAAAGTTAAAGCATTTACATTGGGTTGTCATTGAAACCTTGTCAAAAGAAGTGTGGGAGGATGGTGGAGGCAGGAGTTGAGAGGGTTATTAGAATGCTTTTGGATGCAAGGAATGGATGATGCAATTTACAATTGGTTATTTTCTTTCTCAAATAAGAAGTCAGAAAGTGAGCCCCCTTTGTGGTTTCTGTACAATGTCTAGGTCTTTTGTTTATAGTGCTAATCATCAAGCTTATGCTAGGCAAGTTAAAATAAGAGAAGGGGCCAGCAGTGTTTCTTTTGTGTCTCATCTCTTTTATTGGGGAAGAACCTCCATAGAAACCTCCTAATTACATCTTATCATTCAGTGATGTGTCATACTCCTGTTCACCACATGCAAAGGAGGTAACAAATCCAGACATGCACTGATGTAGTGGGTAGCCATTCCAGCTTTGATCTGGAAGTTCCAACCCCCATTGAGGCTTCTGTAACTGTCATGCCTACAAGGCGGGGCCAAAAGAGGACCCTGAAGACCTGAGATCCGGATGGGCCAGCTCCCTTGGTTGCTGGACCCTGGAAGCTGGAGTTAGACCGAGCAGAGTTCTCCAGAGAACACTACTGGGCTGAGCCACACCTTTCCCAGACCCTATAGCCGATCCCTTCACTTGTAAGTTACCCCATAAAATAAACCTCCCATTTAACTACATGGAATGGCCTTAATAATTTCACCAATATCTGGCGCTCACGTGGGCAAATTCCAAAGGCCTGGGTAGCTCCCACCATCAGCTTCCTCCCCAGCTGGTGGGCACTTGAAGCTGCAGGGTACCGCCTACAGAGCTCGGTAAAACCAGGAAAAACCTACATGGTTTCATTCCTGAAAAGGAGCTAATCTGGTCTCAGTTCTGTGGCAAGTTTAGTCCCCAGACCAGTGAAACTGCTGTGAGTGAGACATTCCCCCTACTCCCTGAGTGCTGGCTCCCCATCCTAGCCTGAGGCTTTCACAGTTTCACCTAGTTAAAATAGACATAGCACTGTCCCTGGCGCCACCCTACTCAGGCACAGAGAGGGCTTGGAGCTGTGCCTGCTGGCAGACCTGGAGCTCTACAGGCAGTACCCTGCAGCTTCAAGTGCCCACCAGCTGGGGAGGAAGCTGAGGGTGGGAGCTACCCAGGCCTTTGAAATTTGCCCCATGTTGGGTGCCAGATATTGGTGAAATTATTAAGGCCACTCCACGTAGTTAAAAGGGAGGTTTATTTTGTGGGGTAATTTACAAGTGAAGGGATCGGCTACAGGGTCTGGGAAAGATATGGCTCAGTCCGGCGGTGGAGAACTCTGCTCAGTCTAACTCCAGCATCCAGGGTCCAGCAACCAAGAGAGCTGGCCCATCCTGATCTCAGGTCTTCAGGGTCCTCTCTTGGCCCCGCCTTGTAGGCGTGACAATTACCTAAGCCTCAATGGGGGTTGGAACTTCCAGATCAAAGCTGGAATGGCTACCCACTACACACCATTTGTAGCCTTCCGATGAGAAACATGCTCACCAGGGAATATCAAGGGTGTTAAGGAAATGGTTACTGAGTTGACAAGGTGTATCTACTATGAGGAATAAAAGGAAAGTGATAAACACATGGTGTCAAGAAGACAACTATAAAAGAGAAACTGAAGACTGGATGCTGCATGAGTCAGGCAAGGCTATTTAGATTAGGGAATTTGATATTTGTGTTATAGGTAATCATTTTGTTCTCTGTCCACAGAAGCAAGGGAAATGGGAGACAGTGATATGTTACCTCAGATCATCCATGGCATACTGTCAACATCTCATTCTCTGATTACAAGAAGTATCCAAGAGCTTGATGAAGATGCCACCACACCTTATGACTATGATAATGGTGAACCTTGTCATAAATACAATGTGAAGCAAATCGGTGCCTGGATCCTGCCCCCACTCTACTCTCTGGTATTCATCTTTGGTTTTGTGGGTAACATGTTGGTCATTCTCATCCTGATAAGCTGCAAAAAGCTGAAGAGCATGACTGACATCTACTTGTTCAACCTGGCCATCTCTGACCTGCTCTTCCTGCTTACTCTCCCAGTCTGGGCTCACTATGCTGCAAATGAGTGGGTATTTGGAGATATAATGTGTAAATTATTCACAGGGCTCTATCACATTGGCTATTTTGGTGGAATCTTCTTCATTATCCTCCTGACGATTGATAGGTACTTGGCTATTGTCCATGCTGTGTTTGCTTTAAAAGCCAGGACAGTCACCTTTGGGGTGATGACAAGTGGAGTCACTTGGGTGGTAGCTGTGTTTGCCTCTCTCCCAGGAATTATATTTACTAAATTCAAAGAAGAATATTATCATCACACCTGTGGTCCTTATTTTCCATTAATATGGAAGAATTTCCATGCAATAATGAGGAATATCTTGAGCCTTGTTTTGCCCCTACTTGTCATGGTCATCTGCTACTCAGGAATCCTCCACACCCTGTTTCGCTGTAGGAATGAGAAGAAGAGGCACAGGGCTGTGAGGCTTATCTTTGCCATCATGATTGTCTACTTTATCTTCTGGACTCCCTACAACATTGTTCTCTTCCTGAACACCTTCCAGGAATTCTTAGGACTGAGTAACTGTGTGGTTGCCAATCACTTAGACCAGGCCATGCAGGTGACAGAGACTCTTGGAATGACACACTGCTGCATCAACCCTGTCATTTATGCCTTTGTTGGGGAGAAGTTCCGAAGGTATCTCTCCATATTCTTCAGAAAGCACATTGCTAAACGTCTCTGCAAACAGTGCCCAATTTTCTACAGAGAGACAGCAGATCGAGTGAGCTCAACATTCACCCCTTCCACTGGGGAGCAAGAAGTCTCAGTTGGGTTATAAAACAAGTGGCAGTTTGTATTTTTGGCAGGTACCAGGAACAGTTTGTATATGGCAACAAGCTTCAAAGACAATAAATCTCACCTTTAGGTCTCGACCCCTTGAGGGCTGAATGAAACTTTCACGGGAATTGCCTAAGACCATCAGAAAACACAGATATTTACATTACAATTTGTAACAGTAGCAAAATTACAGTTAAGAAGTAGCAACAAAAATATTTTTATAGTTGGGAGTCACCATAACATGAGGGACTGTGTTAAAGGGTCATAGCATTAGGAAGGTTGAGAACCACTACTCAAAGATATATTGAAGAATAGAGACCTTTAAATCACGTATCCAGGAACCTTAGGATTATGCCAAGACAGAACTACATCACTTCTTGTATATATAATACATGTTCAGGCAACATTCTAGAATAAATGTCGATAGAATCTTCAGCTTTGCAGTGAACTCATCTCTGTCTCTAGGAAGAGCCTTATTGCCTTGTGTTAATACTATTTTGCCAATCTTCACTATGTTTCCCTTTATTTCTAACAAGATAGGCATGCAATAAACAGGAAGGAGATTGTAAGGGTGTCAGGACTGAGTGAGAAGGAAGAAGAGTTAAACATTGTTGATCCTGGATGAAGATGAAGATGAGCAGGGGTCTTTTTCATTTGGAAAGAAATGTCCTGGTCTTTAGCTCCATCTCCCACCTGTATTTAATTATGAAGGCTTTATCAGGTTGTGGAAAATCTGGCAACTATAATAACTAGTTGGGAACTTTATTTGAGCCCCATGATCCTTTTATACATAACTGCATAGCACATTTTTGCTTTGTTATTTTTATCTATGACAACATGGAAAATCTTCAATATCACACTCCATTGCTTACATGTTTTTCAAGCCACATCTCTTTACATAGTATTTATAAAATTATTGTTTATAAAATATGCATCATTAGTAGTTAGCCTAAAAATAATAAAGGCTCTTTTTTTTATCTTTCCAGAAAGAGCAAAGACTTGAGGTAGTGAGTAACCAAGAATGAGGAGAAAAGCCAATCCCTCCATCAGGCATAGAGAGCTGAAGCAAAAAGGCAGGGGATATGTGGAACAATATCACAATAGCAGGGACGTGTGTTTAGAACCACATAGAATCAGAGGCAAAATGGATGCCTCAGCACTGAGGAAAGGTTGCTATCTGGGTGTGAATTGGTTTTATTTCATTGCTGCTATTTCCTGCTGCTCCACTACTTTTTCGCCTGCCTCTTTCCCATTGGTTTTTATTTCTTAACTGCCATACTTCAAACATCAGTGGGCCTGAGGGAAGTATGTATGAAATAGCCAAATATGAACCCCTAGATAGTCCCAGAAGAAAAAATGCACTGGGTATGTTTTGTGGGCAAAGAAAGGGATGGATGCAACAGGGACAGAAGCCCTTGCTTTGGAAATCATACTCCTAACCTAGGAATGTATCTTAATTACCAGGCAGGATAAGCCTGGATAAAAAAGATTGCTGATGGAATGGGAAGAAGCATATCACAGACTATCTTCCAGTGCCTTATTTTTTGGATACAAACATAATTCAAAGATTTAAAAGAATCAAAAATAGAAAAAAATAAAATCAAGACTGGAAACTTTAACTTTTAAATGTGATGAAATACCTCCGTAAGAGGTTTTACCTTGCCAAACTTGAATATGTTACATTAGTTATAGAGAAAATTCTGGCTTTAAGCATCAAAACTGACATAGACAACTCTGGATTCACAGGGTCTTAGATTTGTGATCTGTGGACTTACCCAACTATGGTGATACAGAGTCTAAGCCATCCGGAGCCCAGCACATGCTATACAGATGCCATGTCAGCAGTGTACTTGTTCTCTCAGCCTTGTTTTCCCCAAACTCCTTTTTATCATTCTTCCTAGATGTGCCATTTGGTGATAGATTGTCCTTTGGGTGAGTGAGGATCCCTAAATCAAGCCAGCTTCTAACCAAAGCTTTAACAATTTAATTTACAAAGAAGAGGACTTAGACAAATTCCTTCTCATAAGAAAAATATCTCTCCTGAACTGAACCAAGAATGTTCTTCCCTATCCCATAGTATGTTTCTCATCTGACAAAGCAACAAACAAAGGATCAGACAGCCTGGGAACTGGAAGTCTTTGTGGTTTGGCTTTGCTACCACATGATAAGAAAAAGTTTCTGGAAGAAGTAAGGGATAAGAGTATCACCTTCAGATATTCTAATAGTTTTATTTTAATGATAATAAGATGTAAATATTTTTTAAAAACCTATGATTTGAGAAATAAATCAGTGCTCTATCTATATTGCTAGAAATATTAAAAAGAAACAAGCATATGTTTTGTTATACCAATGTGGTTGATTGTTTTGTTCACAACTACACATATCTTCCCCTGTACTACTTAGCAATTCCACATGCCTGGTACCTGCTGGAGAGGTGTGACTTACAGCTTGCCTTCCAGGCTATACACCCTTCTGCAGTTATTCTGCTAAAAGACAAACACAAAGGACATCTGCCTTTTCCAATTATAGCTTCAGCATGGCTGGTGTGAGGCTCTTTTCAGCAAACTAAAGCCATGCATCTTGGTCAGTGAGAAGATAAGAGAAATGAAACCAGGACCACAGCATGAAGAAGAGGAGCAAAAATCCATGTCCACTATGATAAGCCAAGGGGATTATTTGTTAAGACAATGCTAACTAATACAGATGGGAGATAATGTTTATTAAAAATGTTTTTCTACTGTGGAATGCAGTGTAAAAAAATAGCCTGTCTACAGATTGGATGGGTAAGGTGAAAATGGATGTCACTGTCATGTCCTTCATGTCCTTTAGACCTTGCAGTCCAGGGCCCTGGAGAGTGGTATAGGTGCAGAGGGCTCAGATATGATCACATGAACAAAGGGAAAGAAGAGTATGTAAGACTTTTTTGAGAATCCAGAGGGTGGGGGACTAACTCAATGTTGGTCATGCAGCACAGTATAAACATCTACAATAGGATTTTGTTGCCACAGAAGAAATTGCCTTGTAGGAATTGTCTGTTATGTCTTTCCAGAAGTGAGCTCTAAATTCATCTGGGGAGAACCTTTGAGTGGACAGTTGGAGGAAAGTAGGAATGAAGGGAAGAAAGGCCACCATACCAAGGGATGGGTGTTTGGACAGTTTTGGTGGAATAGTGGGCTTGACACTGTGCCTAAATGGCCTGTGGTCTGTGCTGTCAAACAGCTGGGGAAGCTGAGTATGTGCAGAGGACCCTGCAGTTGTCTGAAAGGACTCCATCTGCTTTTACTCATTATTTAGACTTCTCTGGCCAACAAAATTACATCAAATGAGAATATCCAGCAAAGTTGACTACCCAGGTATCTCTACAGAAACACATCATGGGAGAAAAGGAGTCTGGGCTGAGTGCTCTTGCAAGGCATCTCAGGAATGGGGTGGGAAAAGAACAGGCATAGGTTTAGGGAGTGACCAATAGAGGCTAGAATGTTAAAATATGGACACTTTGGCATTTTGTCTTAGTCACTATTCTATTGCTGTAAAGACACATTGTAGTGGGTAGCCATTCCAACCTTGATCTGGAAGTTCCAACCCCCATTGAGTCTTTGATAACTGTCACGCTTACAAGGCAGGGCCAAGAGAGGACCCTGAAGACCCGAGATCTGGATGCAAGGGCTCTCTTGGTTCCTGGACCCTGGACGCTGGAGGTAGACAGAGCAGAGTTCTCTAGAGAACACCACCAGACTACGACACACCTTTCCCAGACCCTGCAACCCACCTATCCCTTCACTTGTAAGTTACACCACTAAATAAACCTCCCTTTTAACTATGTGGAGTGGCCTTAGTAATTTCACCAATAACACACTATGACCATGGCAACTCTTATAAAGGAAAGCATTTAATTGGGGTTTGCTTACAGTTTCAGAGGTTTAGTCCATTGTCATCATGGTGGGGAACATGGTGACATGCAGGAATAGTGCTGAAGAAGTAGCTGAGAGTTCTACATCCAGATCCACAGGCAGCAGGAAGAACAAGACACTGGACCTGGCTTGGGCCATTGAAACCTCAAAGCCCACCCCTAGTGACACACTTCCTCCAACAAGTCCACAGCTACTCCAATAAGGTCATACCTCCTAATCCTTTCAAATAGTGCCATACCCCAGTGACTAAGCATTCAAATATATGAGTCTATAAGAAGCCATTCTTATTCAAACCACCGCACATATTATCTGTAACTTTGAGAAGGTTCTGGTATAGTGTGCTATATGGTGAATGTGTGTGGGAGGCAGGGGAGAGGGTAGATAAATCAAGCCTTATATCCCTGCTGGCCCCATCATAAAGCTTGTGCCGCATCAGCTCAGCAATTCATAAGCAAAGGTCAGGGAACTGAGTAAAGTTTTGGTTCATTGACAGTGACTATTAAACCTCCTAATGTAATCTGTTTACAATATGAAATTATTTTCTTTCTCCTGAATAAAGTTCAGTTGGTTCTTAGAGTCAATTGGATTCTGAAAGGCTGCGCCTAAAGTAGGTATGAGTTCTGTCTTTTCTGTCCCAACTCCACCTCTACCTTCAGCCCTGGTTTGTGGTCTGCCTCAAGATGACCTCCAGTGCCTCTCCTTTCCAGGCATAGCAGACATGAGGAAAGTGGATATGGCCAGGAGAAGGGCACATATTTCTTTACATAGCCGGTCCCTGCCACAGGCCCCTCTGTGTTGGCAAAGATGCCAAGAAAGATGAACACTGATGTGTTCTTCCTTCAGAGGACCCAGAGCTAGTAAGGATACCCATGACCACCTATTAGATATTAGATAAGTAAAATCTCCTTCAAATGGGCCTTTTCCAACCCACCATTTCTTGGGTGATGATGTTACCTGTCTCTGATAGTGGGCTCCACAATACAACTGTAGCCTGGTTGCCTCTTTTGGTAGTCATGCAACCTAGTGAACATGAAGTAGATATCTTTGTTTCCTAGTTACATACCCTGCCTCTAGCCCCCACCTTCAATTCTATCCCTTAGTGCCCTGTTCAGCTAACTGGCTGCACTGTGAAGGCCCATGTTGTAAGGAGTTCTGCCCTTCCTTTTTGTAAACCCCCATTTTAAATGTGATTCTCTCAGAACACCACTTTGCTTTGAGAGGAAGAGCCTCATCAATCTTGTCCTCCTACAAATTGGGTGCTTATACAGACATTAGGAAGAGTTGATGAGACAGCACAGAGATGGTTCTGTCACTTCTTAGTAAGCCCAGGAAAGATGTCTAACCCCAAGTGTCAGTGGTTTCCTCTATAATGAAGAAGCACTTAACACTTCTTGACCTCAGCCTTAGGTTATGGTTGCCAGTTTCACAGTGATCAGAATAGTCTTACATAATATCCTGTTATGCATGGAGCTGCAGGTGTGATCTGACCCACTCAAGATGACAGTTAAGTGTTGTAAGCTTTAA